AACAAGCCGTTTCTTACCGTTTCCTCCGGGTTCCGGAGGCCGGAATCATCGACCTGGGTACCTTTTTTTTATTATGAACATTTTATTTTGGTACTCGCCACTTTTTTAATCGATAATCACACATCATTCTCTTGATTTTTCTTGCTCATATGAATAAGTAAATGATATATATATATATATATCACTTTAACAGACTTCTCAACTAATAAAGTCACTTTTTATCTTTTGACTTTTTTTATTCGTAATGAAGATTTTTTCCTTCATGAATATCTGAATATAGTTGAAAATGAAATCCATGCATATTGTAGATTCATGAATAGTATTATCAACCTAAATTGTTTCGATCATATCTGTACAGAATTCTTCTATAGTAAATTCGAGTCGTGTGAATATTTTCTTTCATTAATGTTGTATTTTAGTGCTAGTCAAAGAACGAAAAGCAGTACGAGTAAAGTAATTCTCAATAGATTAATGAACACGGAAACTTTTGTGATATGCAAAAATTATTTTTTTCCGATGGTGCTTTAGGCCCCAAACAGACCAGAAAGATAAAACAGAATTAACCACTAAATCGTCTCAAAAAGATGACTTCAGTGTGAATTAACCAATCACGTTGCTTAATTCTGTTTTATTTTTTTGGTCTGTTTGGGGTCTTAGATCATTAAAAGTATCGTAATCAATAGAAAATTTATTTATTTCGTCCCGAATAGCCAATAAAAATTTTCATTGCAGAAGATTGGAGGCCTCAGCGTCCAATAAAATACTAAGAACAAATATCAAATCAAATCATCGCCATTGTTTATCTCGACAGTAACTAGTTTCAATCAGTTAGCTGTTGTTGTTTTTCTTATAAGTTCTATATTACTGATGAAATAGAATTCATCTGAACAATATCAAATCATATTAAGAATATTTCTCAAATCGTGTTCAATAGAATTTTAGTTGCTGAAAATTATCTTTTTGAATACTTTTGTTTTGCGATAAACAATTATAACATGAACTTGACACTCTACATTGACGTTTGTCTGCATATTTTGTTTTCTTTACTTCTTTTTAGCTTTATTCATAGCGAACGTTTGCAAATTATTTTAGATTTGAAAATACACTACAAATGACTGCAGTAGTAGAAGAAATGCCTGTTGTTGTGCCGAAAGAAGTTTGTTCTGTGTTTTCTTTATAAGTGATGAAGATTTTCATTTTTATAGGAAGATATTGGTCGAAATCTTCCTCAAAGCTATGCTCTCTCCTCTCAATATGAATCGTTAGATAGCGATGATTTATATACGAAATATAAGGTTTGATTTATTTAATAGAAATTAATTAGTTTTTTTAACGGAAATTTTCTTTTCAGAAACTTCAACGGCAGCTTGAATTTTTAGAAGTACAAGAAGAATATGTTAAAACTGAATTAAAAAATTTAAAAAAGGAAATGTTACATGCACAAGAAGAAATAAAACGTATTCAAAGTGTTCCTCTTGTTATTGGACAATTTCTTGAAGCCGTTGATCAAAATACTGGCATTGTTGGATCAACCACTGGTAAATTTTCTTCTTTCGAAATCAAACTTTGAGATATCGAAACTGTTTCGGTCGATTTTTTGGATTTAGCAAGAGATTTCTCCAGAGACGCCACTTTTCTCATGAATATAGGAGCGAGACATTGTGAATTTGCCCTTATCTGATATCATTACAGATATTCGAAGTACAATTTAAATAATAGTAATTGGTGGGTGAGTGGTATTCTAAAGATGTAGAATCTAAGATTTAATAAAGATTTTGATATTTTATGAAAAAAAGTACACTATCTAAACAACTTTATATGCTGATTAACTTAATGAAGATATATTCTTTTACATTTTATTTTGTTTAGAAATATCTGCATGGTAACTTTTTTTTTCGTGCAAAAATACTCTTATACAGAACAATTAGCTAATCATTCACTTACTCAGACAGATACGATAACTATGAATATATACGTATCTGTAATAAGTAGCATAACAAAGTTCAATTGTATCGGCGTATCAACAAAAACAGAAACTTCATGTCAACGATATTGTGTGATGCCACTAGTAGATACGTTGGATTGATAAGAAATGACCGATTTCCATCTAATCCGAAAAAATGCGTAGAAATCGAATTTGTAGCTAATGTTTTCAATGTTAAAAAGACACTGTTGTTTATTATTTTTCTAAGGTTCCAATTATTATGTTCGAATTTTATCTACAATTGATCGAGAGCTTTTAAAAACTGGTGCTAGTGTTGCTCTACATAAACATTCAAATGCACTAGTCGATATTCTTCCACCAGAATCTGATAGCAGTATATCAATGTTACAAGCAGGTACTACAAAGAACAAATTTCTTTATGCTTTTAGAAAACATTTACACAAATTTGCCTTTTAGACGAAAAACCTGATGTTGATTATGCAGATATTGGTGGATTAGATTTGCAAAAGCAAGAAATTCGTGAGGCTGTCGAATTACCATTAACACATTATGGTATACATGTAAAATTCATAAAAATATTTTAAACATTTTCCGTTTATTTTCTTTGAAGAATTGTACAAATTGATTGGAATTGATCCACCTCGTGGTGTACTCATGTATGGTCCACCTGGTTAGTAAAAATGATTAATAAATGTTATTTTATTTACCATTTCTAATAGGATGTGGAAAGACGATGTTGGCAAAAGCTGTTGCTCGACACACAACTGGTATGACAATTTAATGTCATCTATTGTTTAGTTTTTGTTGTTCTTTTGCCGTAGCTTCATTTATTCGTGTTGTTGGTTCAGAATTTGTTCAGAAATATCTAGGCGAAGGTCCACGAATGGTGCGTGATGTATTTCGTCTTGCTAAAGGTAGGAATATTTTAGTTATTGATAAAATTATCATTGAATTATATTAGAAAATGCTCCTGCAATTATATTTATTGATGAAATTGATGCTATTGCTACCAAACGTTTTGATGCTCAAACTGGAGGTTTACTTCTTTTTTTTTCAATTTCTTTTATGTTCAAAATTCAATTTCTATTTTATAACTGATTAGCTGATCGTGAAGTTCAGCGTATCTTACTCGAATTACTCAATCAAATGGATGGTTTCGATCAAAGTATTAATGTTAAAGTAGGTGTTCATTTTCGGATTGAAAACAAATATAATTGAATTCTGTTTTTTGTTTTTATCTAGGTCATAATGGCAACAAATCGTGCTGATACTCTTGATCCAGCTCTTCTACGTCCTGGTCGTTTAGATCGTAAAATAGAGTTTCCACTGCCAGATCGACGACAAAAACGTCTAATTTTTTCAACTGTAACTAGTAGAATGAATTTAAGTGATGAAGTCGATTTAGAAGATTATGTTGCACGTCCTGATCGCATATCAGGCGCAGATATTAATTCAATTTGTCAAGAAGTAAATGATTATTGTTTTCCTTTAATTAAATAATTTTTTGTTTCCCTTTCAAATTAGGCTGGTATGCAAGCTGTACGAGAAAATCGCTATATTGTTTTAGGAAAAGACTTTGAAAAAGCATATAAAAATGTTGTTAAAAAGAATGAACAAGATTTTGAATTTTATAAGTAATCATAACCAAAAATAAAAAAAGTTTATCATATGAGGATGTTGATTGTAGATTCCATTCTTTTATTTAAATGATATAATATATTCTTGAAGAGATGTTTTCGTTATTCAATTTCTGTTTTTTTATTATTTATTCTAGATTTTGTATTTTCGTTTTTTGTTTTGTATAACTGACCACAAATAAAAAAACTATGTCAAAAAACACTGGTAGTAATCGAATTAGCGCATTGAAACGGCTGAGTAAACCGTCCTCATTAAATAATATGAATCGTGGTCAATCAATCGGATCGAAAAATTCATCAGTACAAGATGCACGAGACTTGTTACAAAGTCGAAATAAAGTATCGTTCGATGCCAGACAATTACTAAGCCGACAATCATCAAAGATATTAACAAAAACTATCATACGTAATAATCTTCTATCAAATAAAAAAGACATAGGTAGTAATGATGGGAAAATGGTTGTTATTACTGGACTCGAAGATATGAAAATGAAAGATGGACGAGTAAATAGAAAATTTTAACAGATAAAAGAAATAAGTTCATTGAATTTGTTTTAGTTGATTCCAACGACAACAATGGGTAGTAGCGAAGTTGAAAAGAAGAAAAAGATTTTTGCTGTTGGACCATCTACGTACGTTACTATTCGTAACAATAATAATAATAACAATGATAACAATACTGCCAGTTCGACTCAATCAACTGGAAAAATCTCTTTAACTAAAGTAATTTTACATTTCTTTTCCTAAAATAAACAAAATGCGAACTTATCATAGACGATTAAAAATCCGTTTGTTCGTACGCAAGATGATATTCAGCCTTCTCAGACTGCTAATAGTCTTTTGTCATTGTATGATCGAAAAGTTGCTGTTAGTTTTGTTAATGATAAATGTCAAAAAATTCCTCAATCTTCACAAGTCATAGCAACATCGAGTTCATCTTCATCATCGCTATCCATTCAACAATATCATCAACCTCCTATTGTCAAACGTTTGCATGATGCTTCTATTCAAACAACACCTTCATCTTCGTCTTCATCTCGATCACCTATTCGGATGAGTTCTCATCGTCGTCATCCCAGTACTACAATAGATGACGAAGATCGTGTATCTCATCAAACAATTGATGATGATCTTTATGAACCTTCAGTAAAACGTACTGCATCGTCCGCACGAAAAACAACAACAACTTCAACGACGACGACGACGACTGATAAAGAGATGCAAGGTTCATCAATAGTATTACCTACAGGTTCTGTTAAGAGAACGTCAGCAGGTGTGCCGATTAGTTCAAGAATAACATCTAATACTTCTACAGTAGTATGATCTTTTTGTTTTGGCTTCAGTATTTTTTCATGTTATCCATCTATTTGATAGTCAAAACCGACATCAACAATACAATCTAATTCAACACCGGGAACTATATTAGTCACAAATCTTCAACCATCTGTTACAGAAGAAGATGTTATTGTATGCTATTTCGTTGTTTTCCTTGTTTTCAATTACGTGTTTTTCATCTGATTTATGTAGGAATTATTTGGTGAAATTGGTCGTATTAATGAAATAACTACATTGAGTCAAGGCTGTGTTCAAATTATTTATGCTAAACGTGAACATGGCGAACAAGCTGTTGCTAAATATCATAATCGTTTATTAGATGGGCAATTTATGTATGTTAGTCTTCAACAACTATCATCATATTCAACAATACAAAATTCGAAAAAAACCCATAATGATGAACAGCCAACAAAAGAGAATGGGTATAGAATTTTGAATTTATTCTTTTCTTAATTTTATTTTGAATTTTTCTTAATTAGAGCGTCAAATATTTCTACATCAACAGCTGATCAGCCATTAAAATTAAATTCCACAAATAATACTGCGAAGAAAATTGTTATTGATCCAGCATTTATTCGGCAAGCACTTTTTCATCCAACGAATAGCACCGCAAATCCTGTACAATTTCAAGTTAAACTTTAATAAAAAAGAAAACTTTTGAACTGGAATATAAATGCTAGTTTTCAGGCGTGGAATCTTTTTTGTTGTATGTTTCTTCATTAATCTTTATTGATAAAGAAAAATTATGAAAACAAAAAGAAATCTATACTAGATAGAAATATTTCAAAGATTTTTTCAGAGGAGAATGCTCATTCGTTATATGCAAAGATGTCGTTGTATATGTACTCAAACTCGATATAGATTTTTTTCTACAACAAATATTTGTTTTGATTTGAACCAAGAACAAAATCAAGTATTGAATAAAAAAGTGCAAAATGATATCCTTCCTATTGATAATAAGTTACCTACTGTAGCTGATTTACCTTCGTATTTACCAGCACCAACTGGTATTAAATCAAAATTATTTGATGATTTTTATCTAATATATCGTTTTGGTTTTCATCGACCTATTCGATATATTCAAATTCTTAAACTTTCACAAACATTAGCAACGTAAGTCAATATTTTATTTTTTTCCTACGAGTAGTTCATGTTTTTCTTTTAATACCGAGATTTTTGGTTAGCTCGATGAATCGAACTCGTAATGCATCCATATTATTTCTGTATGAACTATAATCACTGAGAAAATACGAAACAATATATAATACTTGTTTTAAATTTACGAAGAGAAAATGATTTCAGTACGTTCATATTTTATGTATCTACAGTGACATCAGTTTATTTTTAGATTGTACTAAGTCAAATACGAAGTAAAAAGGAAAGACAATATTTCAAATAAGAATGAAACTTAAAAATAAATCGTTTTTCATTAAAGGAAGCATTTATCCATTTTTTGACGAATGCAAGAGATTGTCAGTTGTTTTCGAGAGGAATCTACTTACAGATAAATAGGCTTTTGATTTCATATATTGCAGAATACAGTTGTTTAAAACAGAAATCTCTCATAAAACCTACCAATTTTTACTTTCATTGGTGGTCAAGCATGATAATTATCCAGTGATAACATAAGACTCGAAATAATTTTTGCTTGCGAAAAAAATGTCTCCACATATCAATGCGCGTTCGAGTCGAGACTATTTGCATCATGTAAGTTATATTGAGTGTTTTATCCTTTTTCTTAAAAGAATTCCTACTGAAACGTATATTTTTTAATAGTTTAGTTTAAAAACAACAAAAAAAATATCAGAATCGTCTACAGAAAGTTTTTTGAGATGACCATTAGTAAAGAGCACTGTATTGTGCATACAAATCTGTTCAAAATATGATATCTTTGGAGCAATAAGTTATGAACACTAAGTATTCTCCTATAATATTAATAGTTTGTTCAATATCAGTCACTATCGGACGAACATATCACTTAATACACAGGAATCTACATTAGTGTAAATGTAAATGAGAAATCTTCATATCAAGTAATATTGAATGTTTCTTTTTTTTATTTGCAGTGCTCTTATAACTCCATATCAAATTTATAGTTATAATGAAGGTTTAATAACATTGTTTGAATTTCAATTTTCGCTCTTTCTCTTAAGTCTTGCATCATTTAGCCTTTATTTTTTTGGTTGGGCTGCAACAAGAACTATTTGTTTCATCTATACAAACGTTGAATGCAATCGTGTTATGTTGACTCATGTTGATTTTTGGGGTAGACGTAAAAATATTGAATTGGATACACGTGATATAATACCAATAAATGATATTGAAACACCAAATAAGGCGATCTTACCATTTAAACGTTACTCAACAACTGATACAATGTATTATTCTACAAAACTTAGTGAAATACTTGATCGACCAAGATTTAATCGAATATTTGCGGGCTTAATAACACAAGATACAAAACATTGGTGGTAAACAAAATCTTTGTAATAAGTCTATTTAATTATAATAAAAGAAGAGATAACAAAAATTCTACGACATAGAAACTACTTATATATGAAGAGTCATGTTTTTAATCAAGTTTTGAAAATGATGAGGATCTGACCAATGTGTGGTCATCATACGTTTCTTGAATTTCATTTTCATTCGTTGTAAATAAATTCTCTATACTGCCACGTAAATTTATAGATTGTGGCCATCCACTATGACTACTAGCTAAATCCAATATATTACTTGTACCTGCAGTTAAATTATTATTTGTAAGTTGAAAAATTGACGAAGTGCTAAGATCTTCATTTCCACTTGATCGAGTCACTGTTGATGTTATATTTTCACCTGACTGACTGGTAATATTTGCTGAAGCATTAACCATCGACGACTTTTTCATAAGTTCATCCAGTAATCGTGAATAAATTCTAAGTTCATCTTCAATACTAAAACGCAATTCATACGCCATTTGTTCAAAACGTCCACGTAAATCATCATATTCATTTTGAAGTTTTTCAGAGATGGTTCGCTCATGTAATTGTTTATCGCGAATTTTACGTTCAATTTCATGTAGTTTAGCTTCTTCATCACGTAATAAACGACGTTTATCGGATAACACCTTGGTTAAATTATTTAATTGATAGTGTTCTTTATCATATTCCTAAAAAGATAATAAAGTACAAACACGTGAATCGTTTCAGATCTCTTCGTTTGTCACAAAATTTCAATTTTTAAACAAAACTATTCACTTTTGAGATTCACCAATGATGTCATGATGTCAAGTTTTTCTTTTTTGAATTTCGAATGTACTACGATTTATCAATTTTACGAGAAAATCTGCAGATACGAAACAACGTTTTTCATGAAAAGGTACTTACATGAAGAATAATTTTTACGTTCATCTTTAGACTTGAATCGCAAAGAATACAACTAACAAGAGTCTGAAAATGTGAAAGAAATATTTTGTCTAGATTCTATCTATGAACTCTTGTATATCATTTTTCGGAAGTGCCAATGGTTTGTTTTTTAAAAATCAACAGTCATTTCGAGGTTTTCATAAAAATTGTGGATCCAGCCCTTTTCTTTCTTTTCGAGTTACTTGCTCTGAAAAATTAACGTTTTGAAGCAAACATACGAAATAAGTGAGTTAAAGCAACAGCGTGTTAGTAAATCTGACGTTTATATAATTAGGCTTAGTCGACAAGCGCAGACTTATTTTATGATGCTTAATATTAGAATAAATCTCGAAAAAATTAAATCTTTTCCAATGAAATTTTCAGACAATGTGACTCTTCGAAAGCTGAAATAGATTGTGGAAAAGAAAGAAAGATTCAAAAAAATCTCATTATTTACATCCATGCTTGCACGTAATTTTGTTTCTTCCATTTGAATTTTATGCTTGTCTGATTCTTGCATTGAACTATCTGTTAATCCAGGCATTTTCTTGAGTTGATTTTCAACAATACGTAATTGTCCTTCGATTTGATATTCAAGTTCATCTTGAAATTTTTTTGCTTGTTTTGAATAATCTCGTTTAATATCTCGTATAGCATTTGTTAGTTCTTCTCTATAAAACAACATTGAATCATCTTTTGATTGATCTAAAAGACGCTTCCATTCATTGATTTCTTCATCATTCAATGCATTGATTAAATTAATACGTTCACGTAATGATTGAATGTCATCTAATATTGTTTGTTTATCAATAACTAAACGTAACCAATCTTGTAGACGTTCTCGAAATTTATTTAGTTCTTTTATTAAATCATCTCGTGCAGTTGTTAATTCTTCTTCACTTTCATGTTCACGTTGAATGATATGATTTAATTCTTCTTGTAATTTATCAATCACAGTACGTAAATTATCGTGCTTGCGTTTATAAATATCTTGAATATTTCCATATAAAGCAACTGTATGATTAAGAACTGCAGTTTCTTGTTCAGCTGCACGTGAACGTACTTCATCAGTGGCACGTTTGATAGCGCGATCATTAATCTGATTAATTATTTGTCGTAATTCATTTTCATCACGTGGTAAAATTCCCCACTTAGCAAATTCATCTTTTAGTTGTGCTTGTAATTGCTCATTGATTCGTTTTAGTTGTTCAATGTTAGCAAGGAAATGAGAAAATCGATCATTTAAATGACGTAATTCTTCTTTTTCTTTAACATCACGATCACGTTCACGTTGAACAAGTTCCATGGCTTTACCAACATCTTCAGAACTTTGTGTAGATTCTGCACGACCAGTTGAACTAACATCCAATTCATACTTTAAGATACGTTTCTCCATTGCAGCTCAATAGCATAAGAATATACAAGTTTTATAGATGATTATTTGAACAAACTGACCTTTTCTCTCCGATGAAACATTCTGTTTCTTTCCTCTTTTGTCGTCTAATGAGAATTTAATAAAACATTAATATTCATAGTTTGTGTTACAAATGAATAAAAAAAAGAACCGCAATTGATTTTAGTTTAAAACAGAGTCATTATTTTGAACTTATACATACATTCATACATGTTACTGCACAGAATAATCAGAATGAAAAAGTCGATTGTATGTAAAAAAAATGGAAAATATGGATTTTTTATGGTTCATGCGCAGTATGTGTATTTGGTTTAGAAAGCTCGATATAGGTTTGGCCTATCGTTACTAATTAATCTTATTATCAGGGGGTATTAAAAAAAAGAAATGTATTAATTATAATCAATGTCAAGATTAACTATTCTGCTTCAAATAATTTTATCAAACAATAGACATTCGATCTTTCATCGGGAGTGCGTTGAATATACTATTGAGTACTGTTAATGAGATCTCTATAGATATCCGAGTGGAAAATTTTATTTCGCTACAGTTCAGTTACGTGCTTTTCCACTTACGTTTACTTAGCATAACTGACATTGTATTAGATACGTAGATTTCGAATGGAAAATTTAACACTCAAATCTTGCTTTTTTTTAAAACAATGCATTTTTGCAACGCCTCTACAATTATCTAGTAATGCTTATTAATATCCTCTCTCAAGTTATTTTAGATGAGATGATAAGGATTTATTTTGGGCTATGTCGTAGAATTGTATTGATCGAACTGTTAACGACAGTCATTCCAAATCAAAGGTGAAATATTTTGTTTTTTTTATGTGAATGCTAGTACTATCATTAGAATAGTTCGTTCTTAGAAGTAACTTGTACTGAAACGAGTTTAATGACCTTCACTGATGTCACTGTTTGCAAAATCGCTCTTCGGTCACTTTGATTACCTTTCAAGTCCAAGATGATTTCTTTGATCTAAAATGTTTCTCTTACGGTACCGATCTACTACATTACTCTACTCTGCAGACTTCTGAAATAAATTAAAATAATTGTACCCAACAGAAACTTATACCACAATAAACTACATGATTTCTTTCATTTATCAAAGTATCAGTTCATTCATGTGACTGAAGGTAATGCTAAATTGTTGACATTCATTAACTCTGTTAGTAAAGAAGTATCTAAAATTGATTTGGCACCAGAATAGACTATTTCGGTAAGTCAAGATTTTCTATTTAGATGCCAACCTACGTAAAACTACAGTAAGTATGAAAATTACTGTGAATAAGACTTAGAACTGTTTTCCTTAAAGATCTATGCTGTTTGAGAATGGATTTTAAATTGGAATGTTTTAAGAATTATTTCACTTATAAATAACACAACGTTTTGGGTATTACTAATTTACGCGAACAGCACGAACAGCGAATTTTATGAGATCGCATATAAGTCATCTTTACGAACACCCACAGCGTGTAGAGTTATATTCGCGAACACCGACGAACACCCATTTTCTAGGAGCAATAATGAAAAAAAAACTGTCAAAAAAGACTAAAAGATGGTCCCACTCAACACGAACACCCAGAATCTCTGTTATGGCCTACGCAAACACCTTAAACTTTTTCTTACGAACACCCGCAGAACTCCATACGCTACATTTTGACCAAAGGACATGGTATCCCCAAATGAATTCTTAGAGGACTTTTGTTCTCAACTAGGGTGTGGGTGTGGGTGTGGGTTCGTCTGTGGCTGATGGTAACTTTTCCGTGTTTTTCGAAAACGGCTATATCCACAACCAGACCCAGACCGAGACCCAGGCCCACCCTCACCCTCACCCTCATCCTCACACTCACACGCAATAAACATGGATATCATTTATAGAAAAAAAACGATACGCAGAGACCAGTTGACCTGATATGAGCCATTTTCTTGAAAAGAAGAAAACGTCAGCATCATCTGATGGTGTATGAGAGCGATGGAACCAAACCGTACTCTATAGATGTTAATAAGAAATTGACTGTTTAATAAAATATAATATGTTAGATAATTGGTAACTTTAAAAGCCATAAAAGTTCCAATGATGAGCTTTTAATCGGAGAACACGCAGTGAAAACTTTCAAAACTGAGGTAGTTTTCTGTGAATATCCTCTAAAAGTTGATTATTGCAACCTACATAAAATCATGAAATCCGCGGGCTTGTTCAGTTTATAATTTTCTATCGAAGAACATTTGAAGGCTCTATCTGCCATTTATCTGTGCGGAATTATAAAAATAGAAAGAAGGTTAAAATTCAAAAATTGGAATAAGTTTTTCAAGTTAAAATTTTGTTTTCACCACTCAAGTTTTCTTTTGAATACTAGCCTTCCAATGCCGAATCCGATTCTGAAATCAAAGAAGTACTCTGAAACTCAGTTCCATCAAAATCTCACTTTTTTCACTGCTTAAAGCTGAAAAATCTTGGTTTTCTGGAACTTTAACTTGCGAGGCTTGCACAGAAAATTTTCTCGAAAATATAAGAAGAGCATGTCGGAAAACGCTTTAGAATTCGAGGACAACTAATGGTAATCAGTCGTTCTCAAAATACTCCACATCAACTTTCCAATGTGGACGCCTGTTTTGAGCCCGTTACCCAAGCAACTAGCTGAATCATATATCTATAAGTAGGTAGAAAGTTGATAATCGTGCTGCTAAGTCTAAATTTCGTGCTATTGACGTGTTAAAAGAAACCTCTTGAGTGTACATGGTCACATTTCGACCGATCACACGTATTTTGAGAACAAAAGTCCTCTAAGAATTCATTTGGGGATACCATGTCCTTTAGTCAAAATATAGCTTATGGAGTTCTGTGGGTGTTCGTAAAGATGACTTATATGCGATCTCACAAACTTCGCCGTTCGTGCTGTTCCCGTAAATTAGTAATACCCAGTTTTAAATGTTTTTCTATTTCATATTTATCAGGTAATGATAAAACATATTTAAAACGATTTTTTCATGTACCATTTGTTTTTAATAATTCACGTTAATTTAGTGAAGACATTTTTTCGACAATTGACTACAAACACGCAAGGCGTGATTACATTTAAATAATGGAAAAAATTTCAATTGATGCCGAAATTTTCTCCAAGGTAAATCGCGCAGACAAAACTAGACGCATTAACATAACATTTTTTCATCGTGAATAGCAGCGATGGCTAATAACTTTTTATTTAGTTATTTTTAATTTTTGATTATTTGAAATATTTTCTTTTAGGTATATACTTATATCGGGTCTACGAACGATTCGCACGACGAAAGTTACGCACGGATAGTTGCACACGAAGAAACTTGCTCACTTGATGATACGCACCAGTGAGTTGCGCACGGATACTCTGCACATGAAATAAAATATACGCATTGATAAATAAGTAATCATATTACCCACTATATCATACACTGTAATTAATAGACATAGTCTTCTTAATTGCCTAAACTAATCAACTTGAGCTCATTTTGAGTGTGATCGTCTGATCTATATATAAAATAATCATTCACATTGGAAAAAAATCATAATCTATTATTTTCAAACATGCTCACTCCTATCGTATTCACTACTACTTCAAAAAGTCGTCCATTGATGATACTAGATGGCTATTTATACACTAGAGATCGTCGAACTGACACAAAAACGTATTGGCATTGTGAAAATCAGAAAAGTTTGAATTGTCATTATCGATTACACACATGTAATTCTACTAGTACTGAAACTCATATCTTAATATTAAAGCAAACTGGAACTCATTTGACAAGTTGTAATCGTGATTTAATTAAAATTACGTTAAGAAAATTTCGTAAAGACGTTTTGGATCGTACAAAAAGTACTCAAGAAACAACAAATGCTGTATTATCACAATGCAGCTCAAAATTACCTGATCCAGCTCGCATAAAGTTACCACCATTAGATCATATTAAAAGAACTATGCAAAAACAACGAAAAAGGATTGATTTACCACCAGCTCCAAATAATATGGATTTTCCTTGTATACCTACGATTTTGCAAACAACTAAACGAAATGATAATTTCTTACGTATAGACACCGACCCAGGTGAGTAATGCGCGCTTTCCTCGCGATTTAATTTAAAATATTTTCTAGAGAGTACACTGACTAATTCATTTTTACATATTTCTTTAGGCCTTGATCGATTGTTGGTTTTCAACAGTCCTGAACAAACTGCAATTTTAGAATCTGCATGTGATTTCTTGATGTAAGCTAGATTTTTTGAAACTAAGTACTATACACTAGTTAAAATTTTCTAATTTAATTTAGGTAGTACCAGAGATATTTTATCAACTATATGTGATCCATGCTGTTCATCGTGAACATGTTATTCCTGTAGTATTTTGTTTGCTACAAAGAAAAAGCACAGCTACATGTCAAGAAATAATCAATAAAATTGTAGAATTTGCTCCAACTTGGAGTCCTCGAATAATAATGCTTGCCTTTGAGAAAGCAGTTGCAAACGTGCTTTCAAACAATTTTCCACAAGTTTGTCTCTCAGGATGTTATTTTCATTTACGACAGAGTATTCATCGGAAATTACAGGTATGACTTATTTATACGCGAGTAAAACATGCTAAATGTATCGTTATGATTATAACTATTTCGTATAATTTTTTATATAGGAACAAGGTCTACAAAAGAAATCCGAAGATGATGTTGGCTTTGCTCATGGTATTCACAAAATGGCAGCATTGGCATTTATTAACCCAAATGATGTAATTAATGCATTTGCTGATGTTAGCACTCATCTTGGTGACGACTTTCAAAGTATGTTAGATTATTTTGAAGATACTTACATTGGTCGCTTTCATGCAAATGGATCGCGTGCGAAGCCTCTATTTAATTTTGAATATTGGAATGTTTATGAACGAACCAAAAACCATCAGATGAGAACTAATAGCTCTGCTGAGGCCTGAAACAGGCGAATCAGTACGTGTATAATATATAAAAGAAAAAAAGAAATTCTATATATGAATACTTTTCTCATTTCAGGATGCGTTTTTCAGTGTTCACATTCAACTCTATGGAAATTCATTGATAAATTAATATTAGAGGAAGATTCACAAATTCACACAAAAATTGCTCGCGTCAATGCTGAAGAACCAACGACAAAGAAAAAGAAATATGAGTATCTCGATAAACGCTTACTGAATCTTGTTTTAAATCCACATCAAAATGTGATTGATCAAATAAGTGGTCTAGCTCATAATATCATTTTGTAATTTATTATCCTTGTTAGAAATATGTACACTACTGTATTTATTTGCATCTATATAGTTAAAACTAAACTCTTTTCGTGCTTTACGTACTGTATTAATTTTTGTATTTATGATTTTTACAATAAATTAAAGCTGCTGTTGTTATTGGTACTTCTGCAAATCTTTATACATTTTTAAAAATATAAATGTGAATTTTTTTATTTCGTGCGCAGAATATCCGTGCGCAACTCACTGGTGCGTATCATCAAGTGAGCGAGTTTCTTCGCATGCAACTTTCCGCGCATAAATTTCGTCGTGCGCATCGTTCGGGATCCCGCTTATATCCATTTTTCAGCTGAACAAAAATAATGATCTTAGTTTTTCTTTCGAAAAATAATTAGTTCATATCAATAAAAACTAACTGATGATAACTTGTCAGTGGGGCCCCATGAACGACCAATGTGTGAAACTCACAAACTTTGGACTGTTACAAATTTGTAATAGATTGTCAGAAGTTTTTAAATGATTTATTTAGAAAACAAATGCCAAATAAAGAAATCAAATTGTAACAATTTTATCATGTCGAAAATTTTCGCATCTAGAATCAAATATATAGTAATATATTTGATTCCCTGAACATCGTTATACTGTAAAAAGTTCTGTATATGATTAGATACATAACTTCTATTTCATCTAATCATAATGTATATAAGATAACTTATATGCCACAGAAACTAGCAAATATAATTTTGCTCATCGTTTCGTCACTTTAACTAGCACACTCGCGTGCTGTACACATTGATTTCATTGCTCAGTAAGCTACCGTACACACCATACACTCTCTATCAATGCATTTTGATATATACTGTTGAGTTTTGACTAAAATTAGAGTTCGATTATTTCATATTTTTCTAAGTCAGTCCTATTATGACTCTGCTGGATAAAAAATACGACAGCTGGTGTCGGTATTTCTCTATTCTATACTCACACCCACACCCCGAATATCAATTGATTTTGACTTATTGATCAGATTAACCACATATTAAAAAAATATATAAAATATCTTATATTTCAATTCTTAAAATGTCTGACACATTGATTCTATCATTCAAATTCGCCACTTCTAAAACTTATGTTGCAATGGTGTACCGATTAGTATTGGTGGAGTACTTGGCGGAATCCTTAACGTTGTTGTCTTTCTCAGTCTTCAAACTTATTGACAAAGTTCAAGTGCATTCTATTTAACTGTGGCATCAACTGTTAATATTGGTCAATTATTAACAGGTTTTACTTCTCGTGTATTTGTTTTTATATAGTTGATGCAAACTGGATGGAAAGCTCACTACCATATTGTAAAATAAGATATTATATTTTTCAATCATGTTCAGTTATCTCATCTACATGTCTATGTTTGGCAATAGTCAATCAATTTTTAGCAACATTCAATCATCCACAATGGTGACGGTGGCATAATCTCAAAACAGCGCATACTTTAACAATGGCTTTTATTCTTTTTTGACTTCTCACTGAAATTTCTGTCTTACTCTACTATAACGCAAATATATCGTCTACAACAGGAATAACTATATGTACAATAACTAATATTATCTACGAAGAGTATTTCAATACTTTTCAAGTACCTGTTTTTAATGTGGGCTATCCCAACATTCATTGCAATTATTTTTGGATTGTTAGCTTTTTATAATGTAAAACAATTTTCTCATCGAACAGTACCAATAGTTCGTCGCCGACATGAAGTACAATTAACAGTAGTGATTCTTGTAAAAGTTATTTTCAATTTCTTTGCTACTTCGCCTACTATTATTTTACGTAATAATAATTATATCGAATACGACTTTTGCTGATGGTCTATTAATTGCTGCACAAATGCGATTTATTAATGCATTATTAACATATATTTATCAATGTAATTTTGAGGTGAGTTTTGAATTGGTTATTGTAAATCAATATGAACGAGATCATTTTTTTCATTTAGTGTCAATTTTATATACTATATTTGTGTATCTGGACGATTTCGAAAGCAATTGCATTACGTTCTAATGGTTATTTATTTAAATCGTTGTCAAAGATTAGCACGAAATGGGGTACTACCAGATGTACAAGTCATACAACTAAATGGAATGCGACTATAGTAACTGTTCAAAACATCGAATTGGGTTAAAAAATATCTTTTATTTCTCATTTTTTTATGTTGTTGTGCTTTGTAAATAAATGCAATGTTGTTAAAGAAGTATTTAATTTCTTTTCTCTGTATCAGCTCAAGAAGTATATTGTAGAAGCAATTTAAATACTAAAGACTTCAATCTACTTGATGTTGATATTCAATTAGTTGCCAATCGTTGTTGATCGATGATATGCTAATAATTATTTTTTTATTGCATTTATATGAGATATACAAAATTTGAAATATACCTTGCTATATACTTAAGTGATACATATTCACATGAATAATAAAAAATAAAATTTGCTAACCAATGTCACAATGGATATGAAATTTGTGGAAAAAAGATTTCTTTATATTAAAATAATAATCAAAAAGTAATTCAACTAATGAACATGTGCATGATACCTTTGTAAAAAAAATGGAGCTATTTAATTATATNGAAAAAATGACATTTTATAATTATTTCTTTTTTTTACTCTTATTTATCTCTGATCTATGCTATGATGCTATCATCATTTCAAGAATAAAAACATCTTAGTGCAAATTTTCGATATTTTTCCCTTTCGATATTTTTTCTTTCGACATTTTTTCTTCGACATTTTTTCTTTCGGCATTTTTCCTTTCGTCATTTTCGATATTTTTCCTTTCGATATTTTTCCTTTCGATATTTTTCCTTTCGATATTTTTCCTTTCGACATTTTTCCTTTCGGTCTTTCTACGGCACACCTTTAATTATATGCGCATTCATTTTCAAATGAAATCTCATGATTTTTCTTCGTTTTCTAACCCACTAACTACGAACTGGTAAAACTCAATTTATCTGTCAAGAACTTTTAAAGAGAAGAAAATGAAACTATTTTTGTTAAAAATACTGATACAATTGAAAATGAAACAACTATTGTGGGTAAGTTACTTTTCTTTTAATAAACAAAATACAAAAGATAAAATTTTAGATATTGTCCATAAGTTGTCTATCAAGATTATCTTAATCATCAAGTGGTTCATCATTGTCATAATTATTGTCGTAATAATTCTCATTATGATCAGCATCATCATAATCATCATTTTCATCTTCACTCACATCATCTTCACTATCATAATCAGCATCATCTTCATTATTTGTTTCTTCAATGACGTCATATTTTCTTTTTAATTCTTGTTTTTGTTCATGATGACTTTCATCTTGTTCACGAAATGCAACTAAATCAACTGCAGGTGATGTTGCTGAATGTGGTGTACGTGCTTCAATAGATTTGGATCTGAAAAAAAATTGAATTGATATAATTAAATAAAATAGTCATTTACATATGAAAAACACCATCTTTTGGAATTAGTTTAATTGCTTTGTTGAGCCGTTTTATTTCAGCTGGTTTAGCAAGAGTTTTAAAGATTTCTATTCTTTTTTGTACCCACTTGCCATTGAAATTGATTTGTTTGTGTTGGTTCAAGATATATATATTTGCATAAGCAATATTGAAACATCTTGTCGGTGATCTCCATCGAATTCCAAATGATGCAACTTTTAGTATACAAGAAAAATTAACCCAAATACTTGGAAAATCGATAGGTAATTTTTTTTCTCTTTTGCTATAAATAAAAGCATATTAATGTTTTGAAAAATGCTATATAAATATTTGAATAATACCTTTATGTGTTGCTTTGACTGATAAGGACTTTGTTACTGGGTTTAATGTACCCAGGTGAATGAATCCTATGTCGGATCCAACCAATCTATAAAATCCGATGGGATTCCGGGTCACGGAACCACTAACGGGTCCGACGGAAAAAAGCATTTAATTAATTGACCACTAATTAGTACCTCAAGCCAACATTAGAGGGTAGTCCGAGTCGAACGTTGGATCCGTCACAATCCAACAGTAGGATCCGATGATTATACAATGTTATTCCGACGCTAGGAATCCGAATGTCATTCCACAACCCGGAATCCGATAGGAATTCACTGGTTTATTGGAAATTTATATAAAATCCGATCGGAATTCTATAGAATCTTATTGGATCCGATTGTCGGAATGGTCCTCCTGGGTAATTACACGGTGTTTTAATTGTATATAAATATAAAGAATTTTTTCATTATTAGTGAATTGATTAAGACAAATCTCATTTGAATATAAAGCTACACAAGCTTGTCGATAATATGAACCTTCAATATAATCACCGCCAGTTGCAATTAGATATACATTAGTAATTCTATATTGATTCTTTTTGTTAATGAATGAATTGAGTGTAAAAAATTCTTCTAAAAGAGATACAAAACGACTCAACAATGCCCAGGAAGATGTATCCGGCCTCCGGAAATGAGCGGATTTCATTGGAAACGCACCGGAACGTGCAGGAAAACGCCGGATATCATCGTACCCTGGAAGCAGGATTCCGGGACGGATTTTCCCGGTGATTTCTGATGATTTCCGGCGGGAATCAACAGGAACTTGACGGAATTTACAGGGAAAATCCGTAGATTTTCCGATCCGGAATACTGCTTCCGTGAAATCGCGTGAATGCGCGGGAACCGGCCGTTTCCCGGGCCGGTTGCTTCGACCTGGGTAATATCATTGTGCATTCAACTGTCGACTTTGATTTATCATAGGGGAAATTATAATGATCCAAAATACTGTCGGGCCTTTCATCAAAATTAAATGACCAAATAAATGCCACACAGGGACCAACGCCTTTCGTGCTAATAACATCATTGACATGACTAGATGCATTAACCCTAGACAAACATCTTGTAAGCAAGATCTTGGTCAAGATACAAGGTACAGATATGATAACAGATCTTGGAAATTCAGGTACAAGATAACTGTATTATCTTGTACTCAAGATCTAGTTACAGATCTTACATAAGAATCCATTAAATCTTGGATACACACTAAAATAATACATACTGCATTGTTTAATTTTAATTATTCCTCTCCGGCATTCTAGTAAGTCAGATGTTGGGATCTGATTGGCTATAAATTGGTCCGATATCCGTCGGACCAATTAGGGAAGTCCTCTCTCGATCATCGATCGAGATCAGTATTCTCTCGAATAATCGAGAAATAGTTGAGAAAAAAAAAATTTGAAAATTTGTGTTTCGTATGTTCAATCATGCTGTTTATATGCAGCTGTGTATGCATTTAAAAAACGGTGAATGACTAGAGAGCATGTAAATACACCAATGATGTCGCTTTCTGTTTCGCTCAAGATCTTATCAGAAGATAATAGTACACGATATTTTTTCCATGATCTTGCCAAGATCTTAAGTACAGATTTATCTGATACAATCAAGATATGTACATACAAATTATCTTTTTAAGATCTGAATAAGATCTTACTTACCGATCCCAAGATTTCCAGATCTTGCTTACAAGATGTTCGACTAGGGTCATTTCTGCAACCTCACCTTCTTCTGAAACTTCAAGGTGGGAGTCATTGTCATCACGAATAGACATTTAAGCTGTAGTATTAATTTTGAAATTGTTTACGATGAATTTGATCTATGAAAAAGCATAATAAGTCTATAAAAAAAAACTAAACGATAAAAAAAAAATTTACTATAATCATCTTTTAAAAGAGATCATTCACACAAAGAACTGTCTTTCTTTCGATATAACCATTATTTTCTCTATTCGTTACTTTACGTAAGTTTTAGATAGCGAATACAATTGTACCGAAAGAAAAATTTCTTTGTTATTGCTTTGAATAAATTAAATGTTTCATTCTAACCTATTAAACCCTTCATTAAAGTAAAGACTTGCTCGAGCACCATTACTTATATAAAATAAAATAATTATTCAACAACAAAGGAGAAAAGAATATCATGAACTAACATGTTTAACATCAATTCTTGCAATTCCACCGATTAATATCATTTGTTTAATATCTAATAGAATATTTACTGGTCGAATAACGGTTGATTCGTGATTGAAAAATGAAAGTTCTTCTTTCGTGTTACATTTATTAATCATCTACATCGAAAAGAAAATCAGAGTTCAACAAAAATAAATTTTTGCTGCGTACTTGTTCCAATAAAATTACTTCTGGTGTTTCATACAGCCATTTTTCTTTTTTATATGATGCAGAATTAAAAGCTCGTACTTTCGTTTGTCGATAATTGATATAATCATGTTCACTTGATTCAAATGAATGATCTTCATTAAATAAATTTTCACCAGATGAATATCCAGGTCGAACAGTACGGTCAGTATACGGTCGTTTACGGTTACTTTACGACTATTTTCCGGGCGAAAGTTTGCCGTAATATCTGGCGCAGTAATACGGACCGTATGATCATGAGAGTACGGTGCCCAAACAGCCGTAAACCAAGAAAAATCAGTCCCGTTTNAACTAAACGATAAAAAAAACCAAATTTACTATACTCATTTTTTAAAAGAGATCGTTCACACAAAGAATTGTCTTTCTTTCGATGTAACCATTATTTTCTATTCGTTACTTTACGTAAGTTTTAGATAGCGAATACAATTGTACAGAAGGAAAATTTTCTTTGTTATTGTTTCGAATAAATTAAATGTTTCATTCTAACCTATTAAACCCTTAATTAAAGTCGTTTACTTAGCAAATGAATAATCTCATCCTGTTTATTCACATAAAAGGTTACGAAAGGAAATAAATACTTCTAAAAACCGAAACTATTTTGAGAAGTAAAAACAATACGAACACTCATTATGATCTCTAATCAAGATCTAATCGAAAAATTAAAAAAATTGTACCTGCAGAAGACAAAGCAATATCTCCAGCAGCTTCTTCTTCTCCAATTCCAAGAATTTCAATCGTTAGACCACAAAGATGAGATGGATATTGAAGTCGACCATTGATATGATTGTGAGGAACCTTTAAAAAATTTATTTCTCTGCATAATATATAAAAATAAGAGATGATTTACTCCTAGTTGATTTTTTTCAAAAGCTTTTTCATAAAATTGTTCGACATCTTTTCTTTCTATCACATTGCTTGGTAAACGAGACGTAATCATTAAAGAAAGACTCTTGCTCGAGCACCATTACTTATCTAAAATAAAATAACTATTCAACAACAAAGGAGAAAAGAATATCATGAACTAACATGTTTAATATCAATTCTTGCAATTCCACCGATTAATATCGTTTGTTCAATATCTAATAGAATATTCACTGGTCGAGTAACAGTTGATTCGTGATTGAAAATGAAAGTTCTTCTTTGGTACTACATTTATTAATCATCTATATCGAAAAGAAAATCAGAGTTCAACAAAAAATAAAATTTTTGCTGCGTACTTGTTCTGGTAAAATTACTTCTGGTATATCATGCAACCTTTTTTCTTTTTTATATGATTCAGGATTAAAAGCTCGCACTTTCTTTTGCCGATAATTGATATAATTATTTTCACTTGATTCAAATGAACGATCTTCATTAAAGGAATTTTCACCAGATGAATACCCAGGTCGAATAGTACGGTCCGTATACGGCCGTTTACGGTTACTTTACGACTATTTTCCGCGCGAAAGTTTGCCGTAATATATGGCGCAGTAATACGGACCGTATGATCATGAGAGTACAGAGCACAAACAGCCGTAAACCATGAAAATTCAGTCCCGTTTACGGTGCCAGGTATTACGAGCAAATATGGCCTATTTACTGCCGTAAATATACCGTTTTAACATCGTTTACCGTCGATAAACAGATTGTAAGCGAGTCCGTTTTCATCAACCTGGGTATGCATATGGCACACCGCTCTTTGGCAATGTCATTTCTGATTCAAATCGACGACTCCATTTCACTGTTGATTTAGTATTATCTAAAATTTCATTTTTTCAGATCTTGCCTATGCAGAAGAAAAAAAGAAATTTACCAATAATTGCTGTTTCATTTTCGATTGAATTTGTGTCTTCATCAAGAACAGGTTAATTTTCTTGGATTGGTGAAAGTTGAGCACGAGGAAACAGGAACACGGAAGGATAAGCACCGATAATATGACCACAGGGAAGATAAGCACGAAAGAAAAGAAAAAGAAAAGAAATAATGAATAGAGATAAACCAATTTATGTTAAATCGATCATATATAATATAACAACATAAACATAAGAAGTAAAAATTCTGTACAATAATCTAATTATTCACACTAGATGAATACAGAGAAGGTAATTAATTGTGGGTTTGGATGCGTGGGTGCTACTCTTATTTATTCAGGGTTGCCACCTCTTCCGCTTTTTTGCTCTTTTTCAGCTTTTTCATATCAAAGACTTTTGTTGTTTAATTGAAAACTTAACCATGCAAGAAACTAGATAACGCGATGTTAGACGAAAATTTCTTGGAAAATAATTTTCTAACGTATAATTCTATACAATTCTTGAAAAATTTTCGCTTCACATGATAGATTTTCCAATAAATTTTTCTAGTGAAACACATTTCGTGTTCATTTTGGCCTCCACTATGAAATGCATTCACCTGGATTTGAAATGCCAGCGAAGAAAAGAAAATTTCTTTCAAGTTCTTATTCATTTGTTAATATAATAGATGACAGCATAGCCACATTCTACAGCTGAATGTAAAGAACAACATCATCCTCTTAGACTTGTAAAAAGCGAGCTTTATTTTTTGGATTGTACGTTTTTCGGGCCAATGTTTTAATTTGTGCCAAAAAGGAGTCGCATTCGGCGGCTATATGTGGAAAGGAATATATATTTTTTGTTCTATTACTCTGAAAAATGAGTTTCAGTTTTTTCGATTGCATCTTTTCGCATAAACTTTTAAAGTGCTGTGCCAAAAAAGAGCCGCCTTCGGTGGTATATTCTCTGCGAAAAATAGTGAACTGACAGTCGCAATACGGCCATTTCACTATCACAAAACGAACATTTTTTGGGACGATACAAACATTTTCCCTGTATGGCACTTTTAGAAAAGATGAGTAGAAAAAGAATTGACAGAAAAAATATATTTATTTTTGGACCGGAAATCGTTTATCTTTTCTTCTTGGAGTTTCAGGCCAGGTACGCCCTGATATTTTTTATGAGTTGTCTATTATGTTGTGGAACTGTGAACAAAGTAGTACTATGAGCAATAAAACAAGGTTACTTAATCTCTTGTAAATGTGAAAGGTCAGCAAAAAGCAGCTTTCCGTCTTTTTGCGTTTTTTCTATTTTTGTTTCCGCTATTTCCCGCTCTTTCTGATCAAACTTTCCGCTTTTCTGACCTGATGAGGTGGCAACCCTGCTCTTATTTTACCTTTTAGTGACACCCATGTCCTGTTATAGAATCCGTATGGTTGTCTGGTTTATCTCAAATTTATGATCATTATTCTTATTTAGTAATCTATTAAGGAATACAATTTAAAATACTTACTGACAATGTATGATCAATGAGACTACAATGTTAAAAATGACTCCATATTTAATAAAAGGGAGAATCGAAAATATTAAGGCATTTATCTTATAACGAGCAAAGATGTATGTTTATTCAGAAAAACTATCGTAAAGGATTAGTATAATATAAATAGCTATTGAACTTTACTCGAAATCAAATCACTTGTGATATTTCATTGAAATTCGATTAACATTTCTTTGATTTATTTTGGAAAAAAATATGCCATATGAGAATAGAGTTTATCAATAAAAAACTGTCTTAATAAAAGAAACAGTTCAACAGAAAACATTGTTGCTTCAAGAATATTATCAAGATTTCAATCATATTTGCACTTGAATTCGATACTTTTTTAAAATTCTAAATCATTTTAGTCGATTGAATTGATTTATATAGATCGAGACAAATGATTATAAACCTATTTTTCTTAAATTTATAGCGGTCATATACATGTATTTCTTTTCTCTTTTTACTGGACGTGAAAAATTAATATATAAAATTATGCTATCATCAACACGACAAAAAAATGAACGAGTTTTTATCTTATATCAAACGGACGATCGTTCAACCTTTCGTTGTATTGACCGAATGAGAAATTTATCGTTGAGTTTGTTTAGCTCGTATGAAGGAGAAGCAAACATTGTTTTTTCTCTAGAACATGCATTGACCAACAATTACAACAGCATTGGAATATTCGACGAAATATCACGCACTGCATATAATTTATAGCTATAAATTTCATATATTTTCATAATATTAGTAGGAAGAAAAAAAAATTATTTACATATTAAAGAATATTGTTTTCATGAAATCTTCTGACGTGCGAGACTTTATTTCAGAATTTTTGTATCTAAATAAAACTTTGAACTTCAGTAATATTGCTATAATTAGTATGGAGAATTTTTTCAAGCATTATATTGACAATCAACAATAATCTAATGAAGAAAAACAATAATATAGATTTCTTTCTGTTTTTTTAGATCAAATGACCACTAGAATAGAAGCATTACCTAATGAAATTCTCTGGTGTATCTTTTCTCATCTATCATGGTTTGATGGTTTGATATGTTACCATCTTTGTGGTCATTAAATATTCGATTTAATTCTCTTATATGTTCAATTCTTTCAATAAATAACAATTTATTGAATAGTGGTCTTGTTATTGCACGCGGTTTATCTTATAATAAATGTTGTTCAATATTATTTCCATTGATTTTAAATTCTTCACCTCTTTCTTCTTCTATTCAACGTATTCATTTCGATGGAAGAAATTCATCAGCTTCTGATCTTTGTTATGAATGGTTATTTAATGATGAAAATTTACTTCATTTTCCTAATCTTAAATCACTTGTTCTTACTCAATGTGGATCAATTAGATCAATAGTTCAAACTTTATTACATCTTATTCAATACCAATTAGATAACCTTACATTAACATTTGGCAATAACGTGTTGCAACACATGCTTTATGTGAAACGGGATTCAGTAATAGATTCTGATATAGGTATTTACTCATTTATTTAATAAAATAGGTTCTCTATAGAAGTTCAAATTGATTTGTTATTAAAAAAAACAGCTTTTCTGATTTTTGCCGTCTTTATGATGGATGGATGCATTGTGAAAATAAGACTTGACGTATAATCTATAATCAGATACTGAGATATCTTTAGAAAATACCAATCTTCATATTAAAAACTAAAGATTGATTTTATTCATTGTGACAAAAAAATTTTGAAGACGAAAGGTATCTCGTCGAAGAAGATCTATTGAAATAAAAGAAAATCTAAACTAACTCATATTTATAATGTCTTATTCTTCATTTATCACTTGAAATGTTTAATACCCAAATTTTAAGGCATATTGTTACCAGAGAAAAGCTGAAACTAGGAGAAAAATATAGATAAAGAATGTAGTCCAATATCTTGTCGTTTTGATCAGTAGCTATCTTATAAATCACAGAAGCAATATTTAAGAATTGATTGACATTTTCTGTGTAGGAATTCTGATATTAATAATCCAAAATTAAAAACAAATTCTATAAAGAAATATATTTGGATTTAAATAATAAAAAATCTCCTTTTTAATTTTATTTTGAAGAAATGGTAGAAAAACAAATGATTATATTTTTACAACTTCTTTGTAAACTATTCTCTGCTCAATGTCAATTAACATCTCTTCGACTTGATATTAGTAGTGACTGTAGAAATGGTATAATTCATAAATGTTTAAAACCAAATTTTTATCTCCCTTCCGAATATCTTCAATATCAACATCAATCTTGTTGTTTGACTCTTCGTCATTTATATATTCGGCTTAATCAAACTTGCGTTCTTGAAGATCTTATTGAGCATGTACCTAATCTCTAACAAGTATCAGTTGAATTTGATTGTGCATTATGTTCATTTGCATCATGGACATCAAATGTTGAAACATTGAGACAATCAAAGACGAATTGGTTTAATAAAGTAAGAAAAAAAGTAAAAATAAATATATTATTTATCTTGTAAATATTTCTTTTAATGAATAAAATTAATTGAATTTTTCTAGATACCAAAGCTACGATATTTTAGTTTAAAATCTTTCATTGGAGATGATTTAGACTTTATCTATTTGAAATGGCTGCTTAACAATATGAATTATATTGAAAAACTTCAATTTCATATTAAAAATGAAAAACTAATCAAAGGAAGATCTCAAAATATATGGAAATCTTTGATTGATGCAAATTTCATTCATCAATATTGTTTACCTGATATAATACCTAATTTAATTTATTTCGATTTTTATATTTGTTCTGAATGTCAATTGCCATTTAATGATATTGAAAAAATAACAAATTCATTTAAAATTCATTCTTTTTTTATTGAACATCAATGGACAAATGTCAAATGTTTATTTGATCCAATTGCGTCATGTCAACATCTTTTTTCTTCTTTTACTAATACATTTCAATCTTCTGATAGTTTGATGTGAGTTATTGTTTATTAGAAAATCTCAAAGAACTTCTTAGCTAAATGATAGTTTTTTCCTTTCAGTAATTATTCATATATTTGCAATTGGTCAGCTTTTAATGATCAATGGTTTAGTTTGCATCCATCACTTAGTTTATTTCTGGAACAATTTAATGAATTATCTTCTAATGTTTCTTATATCAACATATATAAAAGTAAATGATTTTGTCATCAAGATGATTTTTTAAATAAATAAAAGAGTAGAGAGATAACAACTATGAGTATACGTATATAATTTCATAAGAAATTTCTAAAACAAACCTAGAGAAAAGAGAAAGCAAAAATATTCATCGAAACAATTATACGAGGAAAGATATTTATTCATGAATATTTATCTCTCTTGTCTTCAACTCAATATAATAGAAAAATAGTTAAAATATATTTAAAGTAAACAAAAATTTTTTTTTCTAGGATGTACCATTGATTTTCAAAAATCTGATCTTCAAATGTCATTAGAAATTTAATCCAAAATGAGGCAAAACAAGAAAATTGATATTCCTTTTCGAAATGTTACAAAAATTCAATTTGGAACGCCTTTTGATCGGAGACATGGTTAGTACTCATTTTTGGTTTTCTTTTCCTAAGATTTGAAACAAAAAAGCTTATTTCTCATTTATATACCGAGTGTGCCAAAAGTTTTGCGTCATTTTTTATTTTGCGTACATCTCGACTTGAGAAAATGATAAAATCTTGATTTTTTTAAAAGATACAACATGAGAAGCTATACCAAAAAATATATAAGAAAATCTTTATTGACTGATTCGAACGGTTTTCTCGGAATTAGTCATTATTAACAACCTATATGGCACTGCGATTTGCTAGTGTAATCGGAGGAATAGGAATGTATCGAAGATGTTTTCGTTTTTCTTGGTGAATTTGTACACAGCTAGTGTAGAGCTATTGATGGCGCATCCTTGAAAAAAAATTTCAGGTATTAATATTTGTCAAAGTCAAGATAAAACCAAAACAAGGAAAATCTTCTTAGATGAGGCATAACAGGGCTATCGTGCGAACTGCCCTTCTTGAGTTTAAAAGAAAAAACTGCAAATTAATGAGTTTATTTGCACTTATTTTGTAGTTCATTCGACGGCACATCTTGTAAAATGAAAATTTACATTCTACCGTTTTTGGAAGCTAGGATATTTTCAAAACAAAAATGGGATACAGCATAAAATCGGACCGCCAATTATTAGGGGTGTCAATTTACATTTTATTTTATTTAAGTTTAACTTCGTGAAAAGTTAATTTAATTTTAAATAAAATTCTATCAAGTTAAATTTAAAATAAATTTAAATTTTTCTGATGCAAAAATTTAAATTTTTAGAAGTTAAACTTATTTTAAATTTAAATTTTTGAAAATTTATTTCTCGATTTAATAAATTTTTTAAAATTTAAATGTGGCACCCCTACCAATTATGCACTTTTTATTTTGAGAATAGGAATATCATCAGAATCCGTTATTAGGGATTTATTGGTATAGTTCTGAGAGCGTTTCATGCTGTATCTTTTAAAAGAAAAATCAAGATTTTATTATTTTCTCAAGTCGAGACGTAATCAAAATAAAGAATGTCACAAAACTTTTGGCACACCGGGTATCGCTTGAGAAACTTCTATCGCACTTTTTTTTCTAGTTTCAAACGTTAATTATAGTTATTTCACCTCTGGTGATTATGATGAAATTAATTTTTTTAATTTTTTTTGTATTATAGACGAGATATTGCATCATTATAATAAACGTTTGAATGTGAATTTAGCAATCACTACTGTAGAGAAGAACTTTCGCAGTTGTAAATATAAGATTTCGCAAGAAAAACAACTGAATGGTATCGAATTTAGTGAAAAATATTGAAGTTCTATATTCAAATCCCATTCACTGTTTAAATACGGAGTGTTTCGAAAAGCACGATCACTGTACCAATATATCTAGTTCTACTACTGGCTAAGTTTTATTCAAATTTTTTCTGTTTGAAGGAGAATGAACACTGCTAGATATTTACGCTTAAAGAGCAGTCCATCATCAATGAAGAAAAAGAACCAGTTTTGATTATAAGAATTTCTATTAAAATTTAAATTAATATCAACCATTTTCTCTCGATATTTGATCGAATTTGAATAACTGTTAGGATCGATAGATCTGTCAGATCTGTTATAATTATTGCTTAAAATATAAATCTTTTTATTTTAGTCTTTACCACAACACCAAAAGGTCGAAATGAAATACGTGAAAAAGTGCTTGCTTATCTCATTTCAATGACTGTACAACTTAAATATCTTCTGGTTGAACGATTTGAATGGCTTTTACATGTTGTTGAATACGTAAGTGATTACTTTATTTGTAAATTTAGTGTATAGCTGCGAATATAATATTTCCATTTATGCATAATTGATTTAAATATATTTAAATCAATGAATTTGATGATCAAATCTTTATTCAAATAATGAATAAGGACTTTAGAGAGAATTGAAAACAACAAAGATTCTCATCCACTGACACCCATCCTTACATATCTACTACGATCACAGATCATTGATTGCACAAAATGATAAACTATTTTTGCCGTACCATTTTAGACAATTTAGTTTGATTCAGGGTTGGAACTGGTACCGACGCGGCCGGACCGATTGAAAACGTAGTGCAAGCCGATGGACACCGGAATATCACCGGTTGAAAATGCTGAGAAATCTTCCTTGGTAATCCTGTTTTTGGCCATCAAAACTAACCCAGATCAATGATTTCGGAGAACGAATACTCCAGGAACCGGTAGAAAATGCGGGGAAAGCCCCCGTATCGTGCAAAAAAACATGCACGCAGTATTCCGGTTGGAGAATTTCGGATTTTTTTCCAATGATTTCCAATAGGTTGCTGCCAGAAAGCACAGGAATTTGGTTGGAATCCACCAGAAAAAATCTGAAAAATTTCCGGCCGAAAATTGGCTCTCTTATACCGGCGGTTTTCTGCATTTTTCTGTCGAAGTGCTTAAAAGTGAAGCTCAAAACAATTTTTATTTTAATCATTTGTTCTAAGCTTTCGTTTAAAGAGATTCATTATGATGAGTGTCTTTTACATGCGCTTCTGAACTGGTCCATAGCTGGAATCATTTTTTCAAAAAATTGTTTTTCGAAAAAAGTCCACATTTTTTCGCCGGTTTTTAATCGAATTTCACCGGTTTACCTGCCAGACCGGACCAGTATGATTTATTTGTTTTCTTTTTAGACACCT